AGGCATGGGGTGTCGGTTAACCCCACTTGAGAAGATGTCCTGTCTAGTCCCCCTAAGGACTAGTATGTTGAGAGAACTGGATCATAGGACCCTACGTACACACCACTCGTTCCCTGAATGGGTAGGGGACGGATGTTGACCAGCTAGGGCGATGTCACTGCTGCCTAGGATGTAGGTGATAGCGTAGGGAGGTACGAACGTATGGCTCACACCCTCCTAAGACAGCGTAGTGACCTTGAGGGCTCAATACTATGTCTCATAGTCTCAGCGTGCCAGTGGACTCTAGGGTGACTCAGGGCTGAGTGGCAGCGTGGCATCATACCGATTGGGAGGCAGCCCGGTATCAGCCTAGACGGTGGCCACCGTCGATGATGGTGATCTTGTGGTTCTAGGTGTACACGCTCTGCAGAGTTGATCGATCTATACGTATAGGCCTTTTGCTCTACCCTTGCATTTTCACTTATCACAAAGCAAAGCAAAGCATAGGGTGGGAGCCAGTGGCCAGTACAAATCATACTGAAAGATATTTGGTAGGTTTGGAAGCCATCTAGGTGACAACAACAGAGATTAGAAGGATTAGATGGTCTCGTTCCTACGCTCATGTTTGGTTGAGGAGATGAAGTCTACGCCCGCTGATGCTCTACGTCTACTCTGATGATTGTCCATGAAGGAGGAGCCTTCACTCGCTGAGGCGCTACATCTACTCTAACGTTGTTCTATGTGCGTTTCCGCTGGTATACGTTGTACTTAAGTGTGTAACCTAGTGTTGTAATACCGTGTAAACTTGTAACTCCATGATGTATGAATTGTGGTATCAACTGAATAATGATAATGTGACAACTTGGCCTTCCTAGACTATCACATTATGATGTAATCTGAGGATTTTCCTTCGAGGAAATCGTGGATCATTTCACGAAGTGAGGATGAAAGTGTAAGAGAAGGGTGAGGGAGGGTGAGGTACACCTTGGAAGTTTAGGCTTATAAGTCTTGTCATTCCAAACGTAGCACCTCCGGGTTAACTCTTTTACACAAAGCGAGGATGAAAGTGTAAGAGAAGGGTGAGTACACCTTGGAATTTTAGTAGGGTGAGGGCCAGCTTATAAGCCTTGTCGTTCCAAATATAGCACCTCCGGGTTAACCCTTTTACACGAAGCGAGGAGGAAAGTGTAAGAGAGGTAGTACGCATATGTAGGCCCGTTCCACGTGCAGAGCTAGGCCATATAAGCAGTTTTGGACGCGGGGTGGTAAGGGCCAACTTATAAGCTTTATCATTCCAAACGTAGCACCTTTGGGTTAACCCTTTTACACGAAGCGATGACAAAAGTGTAAGAGAGAGGTGCTACGCTATGCAGGCCCGTTCCACGTGCGGAGCAGGGCCATATAAATAGTTTTGGACACGGGTGTTACAGTACTAGGGAAAGACAACGCTATGCAAGTGCACAAAGTGCCGTGATTCCCGCAAGAATCATTATCCACAACCATACAGTGAGGCTACTTAGGACAAGGACTCCTACTCAATTTATAGGCGACATGAAGACAGACGTAAGGCAAGAGTTCAAGGGGCCGTACTAGACAATATATAAGTCATCCCTTAAAAGCCTTACCTCCTACGATTTTTTCAATTGCCACATAAATGTTGAGGCATGTAGTAGCATCAAGGCCGTGAAATACTTATTCAAGTACATATACAAGGGCCATGATCGTGCTTCTATGTCTATTGTTGACGGTAAAAATGTCACATTTTTCATATACTCAAAATACCATCAACAAAACATCGGAATAAAAGAAAGATAAGCATATCATCAGCATATTTTGTCAAATAACTTCCACATGTATATGTATTTTTCTAAAGAACATAGTAAAATGGAGAATATGAGTTGGTGGGACCACCATTGGGGGGACCGATCGACTACCCCTATGGGCCAACCAGCCTCCCAAAGCCTCCATGATCCATGTGAGACACTCCATTGGATGCAAATTGTGTTTGTTCTTAATGGGAAAGATGAACTCACATGGATTAGATGGCCCACACTTCATCGAGCTGACATGCCAAAGTGAAAAGATCAGCATTACCCACTCTACACCAAGTAGGGACCCACCCCACCAGAGGGGGTGGGCTCACATGGCATAGAGGGGGTCTGGGTCCACCCTCTACCCCTCTATAAATAGGCACCCCCCTTCTTCATTCATGATTCAAGCTTCAAGTGCAACATTATACTAGTGCTCTCAAGAAAGGTCGAGATGTTACTGACATCTCTAAGAGACATTCTAAATTTCATGTTCCATATCTTTATTTAGCTATATCCACTCCATAAATATTCTTTCTCCATAATTTAACATATTCCAATATATCTCCAATAGAAAGAAATGGAGTTTGGAGCAAGCATAAACATGGCACTAGTTTGTCGACCTCACATACACCAAGATAACAAGGCACACCGGCTAGCCAAATTTGGCTCTTGAGGCTCACGTGATAGCATGTCAAATAGGATAGCAATCGTATTAGCTAGTCCGTTGAGGCCGGATTTTCTAGAGCTTTCGCTAAAAAGGCAATAGCAAGTTAGATACCAATTTTCTTGGAGATGCTCTTATCTGTCGGACTTATAAAGTTGCACCCGTTAGACACTTGGTTTGTATCGGTGTGACGTGTTTGCTATTGTTGGTCACCTTGGTGGATAGTAGAGATATAGAAAGCCTATGCAACAATCCATATGTTCTCACTTTCTCGTAAAATCCACCGTGTATTGTGTAATGCCACTCGAACAAATTTACTTTTGTCAAAAGTTATTGCAGGAAAAACACACACAGGGCGGTAATCAATTATGTGCGTACATTCGAGCTTACATTTATATTAGCACCACCACTGCTAGATACACACCTCTGCATGGCTACTTGGAGGTGATAGAGTCACACCTGGTAGAGTCACACCTTGAGGAGCACGCTAGAAAAATAAGAGATTGACAAGGCATTGGTTAGTGAAAAATAACCATTGAATTAGATGAAATCAACCATTGAATTAGCTATGAAATCAGCACAAAAACCGACATTTGTTCGGAAGAAATCAAGCCGTGGATCATTGAGGACGGAGCTATCCGCGGTGCAAGCCGCAATGAATTCCACAAGTTTATGAAAAGAGTTAGCCATAGCTTTCCCGGTGCAGCTAGGGTTCCTCCTCGTCTAGATCAGGGTGATTAGGCTTTTGGGTTTGAGTTTCCTCCTCCTTGCTCTTGATTCATATATATCATAACGAATTCCACAAGTTTACGAAGGAGTCACCATGGCTTCCCGTTGTTCGAAGGAGTCCATGGCTTCCCAGTAGCAGATTAGGGTTCCTCCTCGTCTAGATCAGGGTGACTAGGGTTTTGGGTTTGTGTTTCCTCCGTCCTCCTCATCAAGATCAGGGCACACACACACACACGCTTCCAAAAGATATCTAGAGACATTCGGTCAATGACAGGTGGATCCGTAACTAGTAGAAGTAGAAGCGGTTGTTCACGCTCACTCAACACCTTCGTGTCATCCGCTGATCGCCCTCCATCCTTTAGAATAAAATTGGGTGGACCCTGGGTCCAAACTCCCTCCCGTGCGCCCCTACGTTGGATGCATGACGCGTGGCACAAAAACTAAATCATGCGGCCATCACAGCACGTTAGTTTGGAGTTTGGATATGCACTGCTCTTAGGCAGTTAGGCAGCTTCGCTCCGATGCATGTGCAGCTCTCAGTTCTATTGTACGATTATTTTTAGAGACATGTGTCATACATCAGGTTCGGAGTGCATAGGGTACACCATGGACCTGGTGTCCACCTAATTTTATTCCCCATCCTCTAGGCTCTACAAGCTCTATCTCAAAATAAAGACGCATCCTTTCTTTTTTGAGATATTTTTTAAATAAGATCAAATATATAATATACTAATATTTATTTATAATATGTAATAAATAACACTAGATTAATAATAAAATAGGACACCTATGTTAATGATGTTTTCTCTAAATTTAATCAAACTCATAGAAGTTTGACTTCTCAAAATACGAAATGTATAGCTATTTTAAATGGAGCTTAGGGACTTGCATTTTTTCTTTTTTCTTTCAAAAGGATAGGGGACTTCCAAGTCTATCCTTTCGTTCCAGTAGAATGCCCAGCATCTTTCGTTCGTTTGCCCGGCCCGGCTCTAGAGTTTAGTACATCCAGTGCGGCTTAGCAAGCTGGACCATCGTTCTTCCGCCACAAACTTCACAAACCAATATGGGCCTACAGGCTTAGGACAAGCCAAGGCCTCGGCGTCCTTTCTCAGTCCGCCAGTCGTGCAGCCGACCAGCCGTACAGGCATTGACTCCATCATTGACTCCTCCTTGAGTCCATGCCAGACTAGTTGCCACCACGAAGTAATGACAATTTGCAGTAATTCTTTTGGGTGCACAAATTTGTCTTCTCCTTGCACTATCTGCAAGCATACTCAGATTTGTTTCAGAGAGAAGCTAGGATTACCTATTTTACCTTCCATTTTGTTATTTCCTACGTGTGTTTTCGGTCTCAGCTGCAAGGACTGCTTGCCCAATTATTTGTGTCGTGTGTGTCAACATCTGCAGTGAGTATCTCCTGTAGATATTTGAGACGCTTTCAAGCATTGACTGCTGCCGTTGACTGGCAAGTGGAAAATAGCTTCATAAAGTTCCAATGGAATTGGTCAAAAGTGGCAGCTTGAATGTTCATAGTGCTGGAGATATCTGCTGGAACAAAAGTTCTACATCCACCGCAGCAATTCCGGAAGGCATTTCACTTATTTGGAGAAGTTCAGAGAGGTATGATGATATGTTTATGCACTCTTCTACTAATCATTCCACCGTAAGATCTATCTCTCCATTTCTCCCTCTCACTCACTATTTCAGTTTGCAATTTGCCTAGTTTGATGCATGGAAATAGCCATGTTTGGGAAAATAAGCTTCTGGAGGAACTGCATGCTTGTTGATCTGCTGATTCTATCTGTATTAGCAACAAGATGTTTGTCAGCTCCACGGCAAGAACAGACATCATCTTTCAGAACCAGTCGATTTCAGATGGGCATGGGCAGACCCTGGTGTCCATGGGAAAAGAATTTGTGCTCGGTTTCTTCAGCCCTGGAGCTTCGAGCAACCGGTATGTTGGTATATGGCACAACAATGTTTCAGAAAGAAGAGCTGTCTGGGTTGCTAATAGGAATAATCCATTCCAAGATACTTCTGGCATACTTAAGTTTGATAACAGTAGTAATCTGATTGTTTTAGATGGGAGGGGCAACTCATTCACAGTGGCTTATGGACGGGGAGTGCAAGATGTGGAGGCTGTAATACTGGATAATGGCAACTTTGTCGTAAGGAGCATCACGAACCGAGCTAACATCATATGGCAGAGCTTTGACTTTCCTACAGATACATGGCTCCCTGAAATGAACATTACATTTGGTAGTAAATTGCTGGTCTCATGGAAGAGCTATGATGACCCAGCAGTGGGGGATTATTCTTTCGGGCTTGACAGAACTAATGCACTTCAACTCATTATCTTGTGGAAAGGTTATCATTTTGGACCTCTGAACGCTGGAACGGTGATATTTACTCTCTCATTCCAGAGCTAACATATATTCCTACCATCCCTGTTTCATTTCAATGTGACAATCTTACATGCACATACAATCCCAATCCCAGAGACACAATGACAAAGATTGTGTTGGACCCGAATGGTCCATTGAACATTACCCAATTTAGTCCTGGAACTGAGTCATGGACTCTCTTATGGCGACAGCCTGCTAGCTGTGAGGTGTCTAACTTATGTGGTGTTTTTGGTATATGCAACAACAGTATGTTACCCAGCTACCCTATGCCATCCCTCTGTCGTTGTCCTAAAGGCTTCGCACAAGAAGACATGACAGGAAATACCCGGAAAGGGTGCACGAGGCAAACCCAACTGCAGTGTAATGGGGATAGGTTTATTAATATGTCTAGTATGCGACTCCCTGACTCCAGAGTTAAACTTTCTGCTATGGGAGACAGCAAATGCCAATTGGAATGCATGACAAATTGCTCCTGTACTGCATACACTTACTCTGCATTGCATGGTTGCAGCCTATGGTATGGCAATCTAACAAATATGCAGGACGGGTATAATGGGAGTGGAGCAGGAACTCTTTATCTTCGTGTTGCTGCATCAGAGTTAGAATCAACCAATAGTTCAGGTATGAAATGTGTACCGTAAGGAAGTACTCCCTCCTATTCTTTATGTAGGGATTATCATTAGGATTTGAAATGGTCCAACCAGAAGTTTTGGCCAACAAGTAGTCAAATTATATGCATGTCACAGACCTTTTATATGCTATTGAAGTTTTTTTGACAATTGGTATATTCTAAGAAAAATTAATGGTCGAAGTTTACTTTTTGAAGGCCTGTCCAAATCTTAATACGTCTTACATAAAGAAAAGGTGTTAGTGATATTTTGGACAGTACCTTAAAAGTTAGCTACTTGAAAGAGAAGTAATCAATACCTGTTTTCGAAAGTACTATGAAGTACGAACTATTTCTTCAAAAGATAAAATTTCCACAAAGGAAAGTGTATTATGAACAATGCAGTCAAGTGACAAACTCTCTCTCTCTCTCTTATTCAGGTCATAAAATACTTTGGATAGCTGGTGTACTTCCTTCAGTTGGATTTCTTAGTTTTTGTCTAATCTTGTTTATTTGGATCAGGAGATCAAAAAGTAAAGGTATCTATTAGAAAGCCTTAAGAACTTTTTGACAGCTAAAGAAAATTCCACCCTTTTATATGCAGTGTGGTTGAAAACATGACAATAAGTTTGTGTATGAATCAGGGAAAGGAAAACAGGATGGTCATCACTCCGTAATGACTTCGGATGCTATCAAACTCTGGGAGGGTGAGGAGACAAGCTCTTATTTTGCGACGTTTTCCTTTTCACAAATAAGAAATGCTACAGACAAATTTTCAACAGAAAACATGCTTGGAGAAGGGGGGTTTGGCCCTGTGTACAAGGTACCATGTGTTCTTCAATCCCTCTGCTTCGCATACTTGTCAGCATTTCACAAACTAGATAAGAATGCTGGTACAGAAGCATGTGGTTACGTATGTATGGCTGTACCCTATCTTTTTTTTCCTGAAAGGATGGCAATAGCTTTGCCACATTTTTGTTTGAGGAACCAGGAGGGCCGGAGCCCTACTGAAATATATAAAAAGAATAAAAGCAAATACAAGAAGCCTTAGAGAGAGTTCAAGAAACAAAAAGGAGGTGAAGAAAATAAAGAGAAGAAGAGCTGATGAAAAGTGTTTTGCATCCATGATACAAAAGATGGTTCAGATTTCTTCTTGATCCTCCACATTAAGTGGTAAAGTTCCTTCCTGAAGTTGTGCTTGCATTTCTGTGTGCTGGGTTGAATTCCATTGAAAATCAGATCATTCTTCCTTTCCTTCCAAATGCTCCAGAAGAACAGGGCTGTACCCTATCTTCTTGTTGCAATATAATTCAAATAATTTACATGGAAAAGGGAAACTAAAGAGAGGATATTAGACATGAGGGATATATGGCATGACATGGAGATGAAGGCGCTGTTTTCATTTTTCAAATTTACCTACATAAGTGCGCTACTATATATGTTCATACCTATGTTAAACAATGGATCTTGACTTTGCTTGGCATCTAGACTAACTGTATCATTATTTGTTGGTTATATGTTTGAAACACTTAATTTTTTCGCTCTTTTGAATTATATTATATTTCTATGTAACATCATGAACAGGCTATGTATATAATCAAAAAGTTACCACTTGCAGTCTCAACAGAAAGTTCGCTCTTTTGATGTTTATCTAGGATTGGGTTCACACGTTGCGGTATTGCTATCCTCTAAATGTTGCATTGTCTTTTTTTTTTGAAAAGAAGTAAAAGTTGCATTGTCAATGACTCATTCCATCATTGCAACCAACTTAGCTAAGAGTATCAATCAAGAATGATATACTTTTCATTCATTTTTTCCTGTTTCTAGAAATAGTTTGCTTCTATATTGTATTATGGATTTTTTAATCGTCTCCTGTAGTAGGTTTAATATTTTGCGATTTACTGAGTGCCTTTTTCTTATGCACTTCTGTTTATGGGGCTGTAAAATTTAACATTCGATGGTTGGGAGATTATAAGATGGCGATACCTAGGAAGTTAGTCTAGCACAACTGCTTGGCGTGGAGGGTGTGGTCATATATCCCAACCACCAAGGTTTGGGTGCCTATTGTCTTTTTAATGAAAAAACGGCTAGTTTCCCTTGGTCCCTTTTTTTTTAAGATGGTGGTAATCTCTTGGGGTCTTTTGCACTCAGATTTGATAGTCTTAACAAGTGGATTGGATGGCATACCTAGTGAAAACTAGTGAATTGTTGCATCTTGATACTTGTATCTTGGACAGATTCTTTCCTTGAACATGTTTGTCGAATATAAGGTTCTATTTCCCCTCCTTTCTTTGGCTTTGGATTCAGCCTACCCTTACATTCTCCCCTTTTGCTTAGTTTTCCTTAATATTCATATATACACGTCCTTTGTGTCTTCATTCTGTTTGGTTGGTGCCGCAATTTGCCACGCCAAACCTTTAGCAAACTGTGGCTGCCAGAGAAAATTGGCGAACAAAACTGAAGCCACACTTATGGCAAAGTTTGGCAACAAAAATAAGTCTATGACGTGTGGAACAGGGTGCTAAGAAAGTGTGGCACGCCGTAGTTGTGGCAGCAAAACAAAAACAGCTACCAGAAAAACTATGGCATGACTAACCTGTGGCATGGCACGTTTTGGTCACCAACCAAACAGACCCTATATTGTGGAGCACACCATTTGACATTTCAAGGAGTTTAAGATGATTAGTCACATTTTGTGTGCAGCCAATTCTCGGCACTTCATCATCCAAAATTCTCGTTAATGGTAGACCGACTCAAAATATTCCTCATGCGAGAGGTCTCAGGCAGGGCGATCCATTGTCACCTTTATTGTTCATCATCGCCATAGACTCGTTACAACGTATCATCGAACATGCAGCTCAGCGGGGTATTCTACACCCGGTTTTGCCCAAGGCCGCAAACTTGCGATGCTCTCTGTATGCGGACGATGCAGCCATATTTGCAAACCCGAACGTTACAGAGTTGAAGAATGTTCAAAAAATACTAAAGTTCTTCGGAGAATGCTCGGGGCTAAAAATTAACATGGAGAAGACGGAGATCTTTCCGATAAGGGTAGAGCCCGACTTAATACCTTCACTCATCCAGAATTTCTCTGGGAAAATTGGAACTTTTCCAGGAAAATATCTTGGGCTACCACTTCACACAAGGAAGCTAAGGAAAATTGAATTCCAGCCACTAGTAGATAAGATAGGAGCCAGGCTGCCAGGATGGAAAGGAAAATTATTGTCAACCTCTGGAAGGGAAACATTAGTAAAAACGGTTCTTTCCTCCATTCCAATCTACCACTTCACAGTTTTTCAGGCGCAGAAAGGGGTGCTCAAAAGGATTGACAGATTACGCCGCAGTTTCCTTTGGCGCGGTGAAACTCCAGAAAACGTTACCGGGGGACATTCACTTATAAACTGGCCCACCACCTGCCTCCCAAAGGAAAAGGGGGGATTGGTATCTTGGATTTAGAGAGTTTCACAAGAGCTTTGAGGTTGAGATGGCTATGGTTCAAGTGGAAACAAAAGGAAAGGGCATGGACAAACCTGGAAGTCCCATGCAACAAGACCGATCATGAGCTTTTCAACGCATCAACCGTAGTAAATATTGGCAATGGAAAAACAGCTTTGTTCTGGACTTCGTCATGGATTAACGGCGCTTCGGCAAAAACAATCGCGCCTAGCTTGTTTCGGAAGACGCACAGGAAGAAGATTTCAGTGCAAAAGGCTCTAGAAAATAGCAGATGGATTGACCACATATATCCTCCGAATTCACATGCAGAGGTCTCTGAATTTGCCGACCTTTGGGAGGCCATCAAGGATACGCAGTTGATCGACAATATGGAAGACAATATAAGATGGCGTTGGACAGAAAGTGGAGAGTACACAACAAAAAGCGCTTATAAAATTCAGTTTCAGGGGACCTTTTCCAAGCTCAGAATTATGCCAATTTGGAAGGCCAAGACGGAACCGAAATGCAGATTCTTCGCATGGACACTAATGCACAAAAAAATTCTGACCGCAAATAACTTGATGAAGCGAGGATGGACGGATGACCCCATATGTAAACTATGTACAAATGATCAAGAGACACCAACGCACCTGTGTAAAGATTGCCCTTTCACTAAGGAAGTGTGGGAGTTGATCAAGATATGGTTCAGTTTAACTGACCTAAGCTCCATAAGCACAACTGGGTCGCTTCATAATTACTGGCGAAGATGTAGGAGAAAAGTTGACAAAAATCAAAGACGGCGCTTCGACGGGATCATAATATATTTTTGGTGGAATATCTGGAAAGAGAGGAATAGGCGAACTTTCCAACAAAAAAGTTTGAGCCCAAGACAAGTTGCAAGTTTGTGCAAAGATGATATAAGTCAATTTTCTTTGGCGACGTCTCCAATTCATAATACGGCGAACTAGCAGTGGACCTCTTCTTCAGTTGGGCCAGGGTTCTTATTTTCGGAGTGTCCCTAGTCTCAGTCTTTTTACCTTTTTTCTTCTGTGCAGTTGTTTTTTCTGCCGTTTTACTAGTTTTCCGTTTTGTTTAGCAGGGGACGCTGGGTGTAAATAGAGAGTTGTATTTGCCCTTTTTTCTCTTTATATCGTCTAATAAAATCCACGGCAAAGCTTTTGCCGTTCTTTCGAAAAAAAATACTATCTGATTTCTATCTACATTGAAAACCATTCTATAGGGCCACTTGCCAGATGGGCGGGAGATTGCTGTTAAGAGACTAGGAGCACATTCAGGGCAAGGGTTACCTGAGTTTAAGAATGAAGTCCTGCTTATTGCTAAGCTTCAGCACAGAAATTTAGTCCAGCTGTTAGGTTGTTGCATTGAAGAAGAAGAGATGTTATTAGTGTATGAGTACATGCCGAACAAAAGCTTGGATTTCTTCTTATTTGGTATGTTTGATTTTTCCTTTCTAATTCCTATTGCTTCCAATTTTCTCTCAGCTTCCTTCTTGAACCAGTGAGTCTATTTTTTCCCTTTGTCAAGAAAAATCAAGAAGAGCTTTGCTAGACTGGGAAATGCGGATGACCATAATTGAAGGGGTTGCACAGGGTCTTATTTATCTCCACAAGCATTCTCGGCTTAGAATTATTCATAGGGACCTGAAAGCAAGCAACATTCTGTTGGACACTGATATGAACCCTAAGATCTCGGACTTTGGGATGGCGAGAATATTTGATCCCAAAGGAACACAAGCTAATACGAAAAGAGTTGTCGGAACATAGTAAGTTCTTGCTTACTTTGTGCTTTGCATTTGATCTATGAAGCTAATGTTGACTAGATTGAAAAATGGATATTGATTTTAAGTGACTGCTATTCTTCCAGTGGCTACATGGCTCCTGAGTATGCTATGGCTGGCAATTTCTCCACTAAGTCCGATGTATTTAGCTATGGAGTCTTGCTTCTGGAGATTATCAGTGGAATGAGAAATGCTGGATCTCGAAGACATGGCAACTCTGTTAGCCTCCTTGGTTACGTAAGCATGTTATAAAGATAACAAAAATTCTTAGTATGTAATTGGTATTGTTTTGGAAGTGGAGCACTTCTAACTTGGTTGCTGCTGGAACTGAACTTTGCAGGCATGGGAACTATGGAACGAAGGCAGATGCCATGAGCTCATTGATACACCATTACATGGTAGATGTCCTGAGAATGTAGCGCTAAAATGCATTCATGTCAGCTTGTTGTGTGTTCAGGAGCAAGCTGCGGATCGACCCTCCATGACTGAAATCATTTCAATGATTACCAATGGAAGTGCCATCTTACCAGACCCAAAGCAACCTGGTTTCCTCTCCATGCTGGTCCCAAATGAAACTGATATCGCTGAAGAAACGTGCTCCCTGAATGGTCTTTCAGTTACGATCCTTGACGGAAGATAGTACTAATCCAAATCGGTGTTGTTCTTTGCTTGGTCAATGCATACGTTACCATTCCATGAATTTGCATGGTATTTCCCAATGTTATATTGCGAGAACCTGAAATTTAGCACGTCTTATAAAGTTTTAACCTGTTCATAATATATTCTCATCCCGGCTAATGATATATAAGGATCGTTACATGAGTCCTTAGAGGAACGTATGGTTGTTGACTTGTTGCTGATGCCAACCTGGCATTATGACTTTCTGATTTCAGCTGGTGCCAAAGGCAACTAGATGCTAGCTTTTAGTCTGTTAGGTCAAAATTCAACACAAGAGGATTTGAGCGACAAACGAATTGGCATAAATATTTCATCGGTGGGGGATTGCCTTCTCTCTCCCTCTCGGACAATGTCAGTCGCGGCATGTTCATATGCATGGCTCATTCATTTTGACTTTTGATTGGTTTGGCAAGCTAAGGCCTATATAAGGGTGTTTGATTTGTGGCACACAGTTGTAAAAAACAAAAAGCGTTCTAATGTGTGCAAGTTGCCCAAACAATCTTTGTCCGTTGCATGCATGACAACGATGGTGATTGGTGAGATTTGATTAGTTCCTGTTTGACTTTGACTTATGGTGCATATTTCAATTTACAACATGACGATGGTATTAGATAAGATCGTGCATTTAGCTATTCAGAGTAACAGGGCTGTTGGGCAAGTTAACAGCTTGCATCCAGCTACGAACCGAGGGAGATCCAAACACCCAAGCGTCCATTTTTCTTCAGGTTTGCCGTGTCGTATACTCGTAGTATATATTATCTTCATGTGGTCAAGCGAAAATATGGTACGCATAGTTGCACTTGCATCCAGTTGGAAGTTGGGAACCGAGAGCATCTGAGCATGGTTCCCAACCGCAAACAAGAGCCGCATTAGAGCAAGCCAAATAATGCTGGCTGTATAAAAACTTAGATCAAATCTATCAGCCTACTCGTATAATAGTTAGCCAGCATATAACTCACTTATTTGTCTCACAGAACCTCTTGGTTCCTGTGCATAAGCTGTCTGTAAGCTTACAGTCCGTTTCTCTTCTCTCCCATTCCCTCTCCTGCACGTCATCCTTCAGCCCACTTACAGCCTCTTATTGTACTTCTCTTAGCTATTCATTACTGTCACTTTTGGTGCAACGGCTCTTGTTTGCCGTTGGGAACAGGATTAGCCGCAAGAACCGAGCTTCCACCGAGTCTTGTTCCTGCAACGGTGCAAGCCCGGCCGCGCGCGCCCGGATTGCTGGCAGCAAGCATCGAATTCAGCGCCTGATCGGCAGCCGGCAGGCAACAGCTAGCTCTCCCGGAGCGCGAACGTCGAGTCGTTGACCAAGCTTTATTTGCGGCCGGTGCTCCATATGCGGCCGGTGCTGACGTGGCCTTGTGGGCGTAACAAATGCGCGAACAGCCTCGCACTCTCACACCGCCGCGGGCGGGCATTTCCTGCTGCCCATTGTTGTTGGCACGAGTGACAGCCACCACCACCCGACCGGCCGACCGTGCCGGCGGTCTCGCAAGGCATAAGGCCATGTCGTGAGAGGAGAAGTCAACGGCTGGTTTTCGGCGCGCGCCCAGTTCGGCCGAGGGGAAGGACCATGAGGGCACGCACGCTCTCCCTCCTCCTCCTCTTGCTCGCGGCCGCCGCCAGTTCCTTCACCCCGTCGACATCCACCGACACCATTTACCGGAACACGTCCCTCACCGGCAACCAGACGCTGGTCTCGGCCGGCGGCATCTACGCGCTGGGCTTCTTCAGCCCGGCCGGCGCCGACGGCAGGACGTACCTCGGGATCTGGTACGCCAGCATCCCGGGCCCGACGACCGTCGTGTGGGTCGCCAACCGCAGGGACCCGGTGGTCAATTCCCCGGCCGCTCTCCAGCTCTCCGACGGCGGCCGGCTTGTCATCCTCGACGGCAATAACGACACCGTGTGGTCCTCCGCGGTGCCCACCGTCGGGAACGTCACCGCCGCGCAGCTCCTGGACACCGGCAACCTGGTGCTCAGCGCCGACGGCAGCGGCTCCTGGCCGAGCGTGGCGTGGCAGAGCTTCGACTACCCGACGGACACGCTGCTCCCGGGCATGAAGCTCGGGGTGGACACCAGGGCCGGCATCACCCGGAACATCACGGCGTGGCGCAGCCCGTCCGACCCGTCGCCGGGCGACGTCACGTTCAAGCTGGTCATCGGCGGCCTGCCGCAGTTCTTCCTCCTCCGGGGCGCCACGAGGGTGTACACGAGCGGGCCGTGGAACGGCGACATACTCACCGGCGTGCCGTACCTCAAGGCGCATGACTTCACCTTCAAGTTGGTGTACAGCCCCGACGAGACGTACTACAGCTACTTCATCCGCGAGCCGTCTCTGCTGTCGCGGCTCGTCGTGGACGGCGCGGCGACGCAGCTGAAGCGGTTCTCGCTCAACAACGGCGCGTGGAGCAGCTTCTGGTACTACCCGACCGACCAGTGCGACTACTACGCCAAGTGCGGGCCGTTCGGGTACTGCGACACCGACCGCTCCCCGCCGTGCAGCTGCCTGCCGGGGTTCGTGCCGCGGTCGCCCGACCAGTGGAGCCAGAGGGAGTGGTCGGCCGGCTGTGTCAGGAGGACGAACCTGAGCTGCGACGGCGGGGACGGCGACGGGTTCTGGGTCGTCAACCGGATGAAGCTGCCGCAGGCCACGGACGCCACGGTGTACGCCGGCATGACGCTGGACCAGTGCAGGCAGGCGTGCCTCGGCAACTGCAGCTGCTGGGGCGTACGCCGCCGCGAACAACAGCGGCGGGATCGGCGTCGGGTGCGTCATCTGGACCGTCGACCTGCTGGACATGCGGCAGTACCCGATCGTCGTGCAGGACGTGTACATACGGCTCGCGCAGTCGGACATTGACGCCCTCAAGGCTGCAGCAGCAGGTTCCGACTTCGAGTTTAAAATCTTGCACGAAATTTTCCATCTTGAGGCTTGACCACACCTTTTGTTCTTGATTACAGATAACCATCAGCGTTCACACAAGAGCAAGCTGATCATCATCATTGTCGCGACTATTTCCGGTGTACTTTTTCTGCTAGCAGCGGTTGGATGCTGTTGTTTCTGGATGAAGAAGGCAAGCAGGAAAGGTGAAGGTGAGGACATGGCGTCGTCCTTGCCTCCGAGTACTGCAGATTTCGCGCTTCCGTACAGGGTCAGGAGCCAGCCTTCGTTGAGCCCACCTCCGTCCAGGATCAGGAGCCAGCCTTCGTTGAGCCCAGTACGGGATCACAAACAGCTTCTTGATGCCTCGGAGGAAACGAGATACTACTCCGACAAAGATGTTGACCTTCCATTGTTTGAGCTGGAGGTGACTCTGGCCGCCACGGACAACTTCGCGGAGCACAAAAGGATTGGTGCAGGTGGATTTGGCCCTGTTTATATGGTACAAAAACACACAATTTACCTAGTAATTTAGCTTGCTGGTTGATCTCTGTAATTACTAACTGACCTGCGACGAATCAATTCCAATGGCAGGGAGTTCTTGAGGATGGACAGCAAGTAGCTGTGAAGAGGTTGAGCCAGGGATCAACTCAGGGGGGGAGGGAGTTCATGAACGAGGTGAAACTGATTGCAAAGCTGCAGCACAGAAACCTTGTGAGGCTGCTCGGCTGTTGCATCGAGAACGACGAGAGGATGCTTGTGTACGAGTACATGCACAACCAGAGCTTGGACACATTTATATTTGGTCAGTCCAGTTCTACATGCATGAGCAGAGCACCTTGAATTGAATTCGTATGAGGTGATTAGTTAATTGATGACATTACTCCATGCATTACTTATGCAGACGAAGCAAAGCGCAGGCTGCTGAGATGGCAGAAACGGTTCGAGATCATTCTGGGGATTGCACGGGGTCTACAGTATCTACACGAGGACTCAAGGTTCAGGATCATCCACAGGGATCTGAAGGCTAGCAACGTGTTGCTGGACAGGAACATGGTCCCCAAAATCTCGGATTTTGGCATCGCAAGAATGTTTGGAGGTGACCAGACCACTGCGTACACCCGTAAGGTCGTCGGAATCGGAACATAGTGAGTGTCCGTCCATTTGCTAACTAACCCCGTGCCAGTCGCATTGTATTCAGTCGTATAAAACTGACCTTAACCCCCTTGGCTCCTGAGACGGGTTTCAGTGGCTACATGGCTCCAGAATACGCCATGGACGGCCAAATCTCGATAAAATCCGATGTATTCAGCTTCGGCGTGCTGGTGCTGGAGATCATCGCCGGCAGGAGGAACCGAGGCTCCTACGAACCCGACCTCGATGTCAACCTCCTAGGATATGTAAGTACAGTAGCAGCTAGCAACACTTTTTTTTTTCGAAAATTGCTGGCAGGATTATGTCAGGCAAATATATTGATAGGGAAGAGGAAACAGTTAAAGTACATGTGAAAAGTCCAAAAAAACAACATAAAAAAACAACCGATAGGCCTAAATGAGGGATTTAGGCCCTCAAGACAAAAGAGGCAAAACGGCCTAATCCAATGGCAAAATTTCTCGTAATCGCTTGGCTCCCGCACTACACCATAGTCGAGCCTCTTCCTTGATCTTTGCAATCAACATTGTCGGCGATTTGTGTTGATGCTCGAAAATCCTTGCATTTTGCTCTCTCCAAAGCTCCCATGTGACAAGAAGCGTCATCGATCTTACTGCTTTACATGGAGAAGTTGTTGACGTCCCAACCGTACGCCACCACTGGACCACAGAGTCCATGTTGTTCCATCCTTCACGCCTAGGAAATTTTCCATTGGTTCAAGACCGTATTCCATCCTTCACAGCTAGCAACACTTTATCACAAGCAATTCTTCCAAAGAAATTCTGAAATTAACCATGCATGTTCATGTCGACTGTCGTCGGTGATGGATCTTCCAGGCATGGATGCTGTGGAGAGAAGGGCGGAGCATGGAGTTACTGGACGAGGCATTGGGCGCCAGCTTCCACCACAGCAGGGTGCTGCGGTGCATTCAGGTGGCGCTCCTGTGCGTCGAAGCGCAGCCGAGGAACCGGCCGCTCATGTCGTCGGTGGTCACGATGCTGGCCAGCGACAACGCCGTGCTCCCCGAGCCCAACGAGCCCGGGGTGAACCCAGGGATGAGCACGTCGTCGGACACGGAGTCGTCTCGGACCCAGAACGCTACCGCCAACTACGTGACCGTCACCAGATTAGAGGCGAGGTAGCTTGCATTGGAACTGTCCACATTTCTAGTGTTTCGTAATGCGAACTTGTGAAGGTTGCAATTGTGCATAAACGTATCTTCGTTTTTGTCTGTCTGTTTGTTTCAGGTCCACGTCCACTGGCCACTCTTCCCTGTAAAGTTTGCACAGTTTGTAAAGAGTACAAATTGCATTGAGAAGCTCCTGCATTCAATTTATTGTGACTTGTTATCGGGGCATCTTTTTTTGAAACTGGACAAATTTGGTCCTTTGACCGGTTTCGTAGGTTGTTTAGTATTTTCTAAAATATAATTAATATCTAGTTTGATATCTTAAAACTATAATTAATTTATTTTAAATTATAAAAATATAAAACTAATATAATTTTTCTAAAAATGTTGTGTACCTTTTTTTTTTAAAGTTTGTGTACCTATTTATGATCTATATATTTGAAACTGGTTTGCTTTTATTTGTGTTGCTTATATTGCTTGTAGTTATGCTTATTATTTATTTAAAATAAATAAAATCCAAATAACCCTAAATAAATTAGCAGCGGGTAGATAACATTTTTAGATGAAAATTCGAAGTAGTTTTATATTTTTTTAAAATTTAAAATGGATTACTTATAAAAAATTTAGAGATCAAACATTCTTATTTTTCAAAAAATAATAATACAAAAAACACCTTTGAGACCAGTCCGAAGATTAAATTTATTTGGTTTGAACAATTGGAGGGTGAAAAGAAAATGGAAAAAAAAACATAAACCCTTCAAGTTGCATGTTCTGGTTTTTTTTTTTCTTCAATAAATCATTTGCCACATCAGTAAAATAAATACCTAACAAAATAATACATGCATATAGAAATTATAATAGTCTTTATTTACCGCGTGTCTCAGCAAGTTTTGGCACGTCCTGGTTGGGCCCCGGCTGCTCCTTTGTGCTGGATCCCCGTTAGTCGATCTTGGCGAATGGCGAGGCATCGTTCAGCATGATGGGAGAGCAGCATTGGTAGTGCTGAACGATGATGGTACCGTCGGGAGCTTGTTTTTGTTCTTTGACTTCAACTATGTGGTCATCGCAATGTATAGATGATGATGGTACATATTAGGGTAAATTAACAATCCATGAGTCAAACCTTTCCCACTTTTGGGGTTGCTGTGGGATGCAAATAAGCAAGCTCGAGTTCCAAAGACGAATCGAGATCCAATGCACGTTTTTTAAATTCAACTCAGATGCCAAAGCAGTCTAAGTGCATAGATGAAAGTAAACTCTACCCCCAGTCCATGCTGACAGAGCATAGATGTGGCATTTGGGAGTGGATCATGGAGCTTTTAGCACTTTGCAACACAAAAATATTTTGGACCGTATTACTATATGAAATATTTTGGATCGTACCGACGAATGCGAGGACCGTGTCGTGCCTAGAATGTCGGCACGATGTGTTACTTGGCCCGACCCATACTTTGGATCCTTACACCAGCATGGAATGAAAATCACACGCAAACACATCTACAATTGTACAATGCAATTTCATAGTGTTCATTACTAAACTGAATTTTATTTAATTTTTAAATAGATTGTAAAAAATATTAATTTTTTCATGAAAATGGTACACACAAAATATAGTTTTTTGTATGTCACGAACGGATAAAGAAAGTAAGGCTTCGAAGGACGTGCTTGAACCGGCGTTACGGCATGATACGAAATATGCCAGCATGCTATGGATCATATTTGGACCGAAGGAAAAACTTACCATGTTATTATACCGCAAACATATCTCGCGTGTCTGCTTGTCCCACAAGATCTACTTGTAATAACTGGAAACAAGAAACTAACTCACCGTCGTATATAAGTTTAGAAACTTCATGCGCATCGACGGAGTCACGGAGGTGAGTGCGGTGCGGACGGCTGGCCGGCTTGCCTGTTCATTTGGCTCATAAGCCATGGTTGGAAGTACTGTTGACTGATTTGTTATTAGAGAAAAATATTGTTCGTTGGCTGAAAAAGTACGATTTATAAGCCAAGCGAACAGGACGCATGAGGCTAGCGGTGTGGCGGAACAAAAACCTGAGCGCACGCGTGTGTTCTGTTCTGTGGATCGGATCAAACTCGGTCTCTGACCTACCCACGGGCGACAAGCCGACGACCAACTCGACCGCGTGGAAAAACAGATAGCCGTTCCAGACTCCAACCGTCATGTTCGCTTGGCTTATAAGCCGTATTTTTTCAGCCAACGAACAGTATTTTTCTCTCACAACAAATCAGCTAACCATACTTTCAGTCATAGCTTATGAACAGGGCAAACGTTGACTTGGCCGGCTTGTGTGCTGTTGTACTCCAAATCCAACCAACCCGCACAGGGACGGCCGGATGGGATCTTGTCTTGTCAAAAGGTGATAAAGAAGGCACTCAAACGCGGCCACAGGCCCATGTGACTGACTAGAATAACAAATTCTCGCGCGCAGGTGCAGGTGCAGCCCGCAGTCCCGCACCGTCGCACTGGTTGATCACCCGGTACAAGACAACGTCCTCTCCCTCCCGCTGATCCCAAGCCTCGGGGTTGGCAGCCGCAACTCGGCCGTGCGTGCAGGTGCAGGCACCCTCACAAGGCAATGTCCCGATCCCGAGAGTAGCTAGAGATCACCGCCCGTTCTGCACTGGCGCGGGGAGCGCGATTCAGGCGAGATCGTCGAGCATGAGGGCGTGCGCGCTCTCCCTCGTCCTCCTCGCCACCGCCGCGTTCTTCCCACTCTCCACCTCAACCGACACCATCGGCCCGTCCGAGTCCATCACCACCGGCAATAACGAGACGCTCGTCTCGGCCGGTGGCGTCTTCCAGCTCGGCTTCTTCAGCCCGGACGATGATGGCGCCAGGACGTATCTCGGCATCTGGTACTACAACATCACGGTGCACACCGTGGTGTGGGTCGCCAACCGCCACAGACCGGTCCGCAGCACCCCGGGTGTGCTCCGGCTCTCCGCCGACGGCCGCCTCGTCATCCTCGACGGCCAGAACGGCCCGGTGTGGTCCTCGGCAGCGCCGACCAGGAACGTGACCGCCGGCGCCACCGCGCGGCTCCTGGACAGCGGCAACTTCGTCCTCAGCGCCGACGGGAGCGGCTCCGACTCCGACCAGAGCGTGGCGTGGCAGAGCTTCGACTACCCGACGGACACGCTGCTCCCGGGCATGAAGCTCGGGGTGGACGTCAGGGCCGGCATCACCCGGAACATCA